AGTTGAACTCTATCAACCAACTAGGCCATATCCCTCAAATATTTGGTATCTAATTTCTTTTTGATGGAGTAATCTAAACCACTAGCAGCCATTTCGACCAATTCATGCTCAGGCACTTGTGTGAAACACCTTGCATTTAGAAACAGAATCTATTGAGATAATCGTCTATTGGCTCAGTAAACTTATCCTTAATACTAGCCAATTCTTTCAAACTAATCTTTGACTGCCCCATGTAAAATTATTCATGGAACAATCTTTCTAGACGAGTCCAATCACGAATCGAATTCGATGGGAGCATCGTAAACCATGTATAGGCGTTTTTAATGAGTGAACTAGAGAAATATTTTATTCTTAAATTTTCATTATTTTCAAGGTCTTCGACCTTAGTTAAATATCTCACCATATGTTCGACAGTAGACCCACTAGTGTCTATAGAGAATTTTGGGAATTTTAGGACCTTTAATCCCCTATGTAATACAGTTTATAAAATATAATCCGACAACGGGGAAATACAATTTGGCCCATGAAGGCCAATATTTACCCCATTTCCTTTCATAATTCTTTCGACCATGGTAGCTAAGTTATAATCCGACAACGGGGAAATATAATTTGGCCTATGAAGGCCAATATTTACCCCATTTCCTTTCATAATTCTTTCGACCATGGTAGCTAAGTTATTATCTCCTGCCATACCATCGTATCGAACTTGATGTGTGACTTCCTCAGCATCTCGATTCCTGTTAACCATTACCACCCTTGGTTCTTGCTCCCTTGGCACTGGCTGTTAGATTCCAGGGGGTTCGATTCTAACTCCTTGATTCTCCACATCTACACGAGGTGTATTTCGCTGGACTTAGTTAATGGTAGGATCCTCTTCAAGGATTTCCCCTAGTTTTCGACCACCAATTCCCTTCGAATCTGTCGAGGTGCTTGTGGAACCCCAAAAAAGTCCGCAGTTCAATTCATTTGTGTTGCCAATTGTTGGTTCGCTTGGGTGGTGTTTTGAATAAAAGAATTAAATATTGTGCCCATCTATTGGGCAAGCATATGGACCATGTCATGGTTACTTTCGTCCATTTGTTGCCTTAAAATGGTTGCAGAGTTTGTAGTAAAATTGGGCATTTGTTGGACAAAGAATCCCATCCCTGAGGGTGGGTTAATTCGACTCATATTATTAACAGCAGATCCTGACCCTTGTAAAGACAAAAACACGTTCACCAGCGTACGCTGTAGCCGCATTGTGCAAATTTGCCATCATCAAAATTGGCATGCCATATGGTTGTTCTTAACCATTCAAAGGCATTGTAAATCCAGACACGTAAGACTCGAATACACTAGGTCCTACTGGAGGAGGGGTCACCGGTTAACCCTGCATCCTCACAGGAGATAAAATCGGTCCACTATGAGCATTCAACAGAATGGTCGTCGTACTCGTCATGGATGGAATTGCTTTAGACACAGATCTTGTCATTCTCGAATGAGGGTTCAGGAATGAAATCCCTTGACTATTCACTCTCATTAGGGGGAATGATGAAGGCTAGTGGATTATTCCAAATAGCAGACTTAGAAGGAAAAGTGTAACTTGTGAACATGTTTAAAAGGGAGAGTTTTTTCTGTAAAAGTGGTGAAAGGGTTTTTTGTTGCTCTGCGCAGAATAAAGAGAGAGTACGAGAAAGATGAAAGGAGGAAGAGGGCAAAGGATCTGAGAGGAGGTATTAATAGACTTTCAATACACGTGTTGGATCAGACACCTGGAGGCCGCGTGAGAGTGATTGAAACGTTTTGTGGGGTTTCGAAGCATTCCATTAATGAGAGTATGGGTAGTTAAGGATACGTGAAAACCCACGGCCTTCTAGGAAGTAGGAGTAATGATGAGATTTTGAGAGAATCTCATGGAAATGACAATGTGTCGTAAAAGGGTAATGATAATGATGACGTCATATGAAATGGAATGACGTCGAAAAATGCGATAAAAAGGGCCACATGGATTTTTCAAATCGAAACATGGCCTTTTGGGGGACAATTTGTTACCTTGGATTTTTCAACCTAACTATAATTGGAAAGTATTAATGAGAACAATTAAAAATATGTCGCGTGGAAGGTTAAGATAAGGTGAGTCCATATAAAGATCAATATGACTCAAGGTCGAAGGTCACATAAAGTGGTATCGGTCGAAGGTGGCAAGGTCGAAGGACATTGTGAGGAACTCAAGGACTTAGTGAAATTGAATACTATGTTATGTTGGCTAATGTGGGAGTTCATCACTACAATGGGAGTTAGGGTGACTCAGCCACCATATGTGGAGTTCATAACTATAATGAAAACAAACTTGGGTGCTACATGTGGAGTTCATCAATACAATGGACAATACGATAGAGTATGTTACTTTATCATGGTCGATATCGAAGACCTCGATCTAGCTAATCAATTCTTGACGCTCAGCAAAGTAGTTGAGATATTCAAATTACAAGGCAGAAACTGAGTTAGCAGCAACAGTTATTCAAATGCACGTGGGGGAATGTCGGGAGAAACCGCTGCAAGGGTTTGAGACGCGTCACTGTAGGAGTAGTCCACCATTCTTAGACAGTTATTTTTCAGTAGTATATAAGGAGACTTAGATTCATTTTATAAAGGGCCCGTAATTGTACACACATTTCTGCAAACTCAAAGTACCTGCATATTAAGAAACGAGTGAGGAAAGATGTACGCACGCGTTCCACATTTTACACATTCTAACTTTCCAAGCAATTTTACTTTAAAATATTTTTTATGCATTAACTGCCTTTCAATTCCTTTTACATTTCTTGTCATTTTGATGTCACTTGCATTTCATTTCATGTTTAAAGTCTTTTATTTTATTTATTTTCTTATGTTACCAACCCTTCGCTTCTAGAACTTTTTACCTTTTAGAATTTTTCTTATTTCAATTGGTTACAACAAACGTCCTTCTTGATTTCACCTCGACTACAACAACATCCTGGTTTTCACAAGTCATAAATACACACAATTATGTCTAGAAGATTTTCGAATTTGATCTCTTAAGTATTAATAAAAACTTATGTTTGTTTATCAAATTTTACCGTAAATAGGGAGCTCCCATAAGGGTAGAAAAAACAATTTTCTTTAGAGTTTGATCATAGGAAATGGGGGCAGGTCACATGCCCTGGGGAATGGTGGTTGCTCTATTCTCTTAACGCCCAGTGATTGTTCTTAATTTTAATGATGTATTTATGTATTTGACTTAATACTCAGTATTGAGGCGGAGACCCATATCCATACGAGATCGAATTTATAATTTATATCAATTTAATTTATTTTGATAAGGTAAGGGGTATATTGACTCAATTGATAAGGAGTTGGCTCACACACTGAGATGTCGTTAGTTCAACTTCCACTACCGATGTGAGGATCTCTTTATTTGATGGATGATTTGTAAATACTTTTATAAATGTTCATTTAGCCTTGAGGCTTGTCCTGAATCTGGCGAGTCTTGAAACCCAACTCACCTAATTTAAAAATAAAAAATAAAAATTTTAATAAGTAAAATAAATACCTTGAGATCTGCTCTAATCCTGACGAGCCTCGAAAGTCAAATCACCTAATTTAAAAAAAAAATTGATAAGTAAAGCAGATATCAAATTTTCTACCTTTGGATCCTATATTTTAGGGACACTTTAAGAATGGTTACAAGTTTTTTATCCATCCTAAGTGTCCTATTATTGTTGGCTATGATTCGCAAACAAAACATTCAATAGAAATCATGTTAGTTTAAGTATAAATCTTTTATGGTATGCTTAGATTGATGGAATAAAATTAGATGGGATGAAATAAAATTAAATTTTATTATTTGGATTAATTAAAAATAAATTGAATAGAGTAGAATATAATGGAATACATTTCATCACTTTATGTACTCTTCAATTTGGCAAAAAAAATTATTTCCTTCCGTCATAAAATACTTAAATAATAACAATAATATTTTTATTTCATTCCCTTTCACTTCACTTTATTCTAATTCATTCTTTTCCGAATTGGTTTGTGTTACTTTATTCTAATTCATTCTTTTCCGAATTGGTTTGTGTTACTATAAATGGCAAAATACTATATAAAAAAGATAAACTTCCCACGTTCATCTTTTAGTCATATACACTAATCACCACCCTATAGATCTCTTTCGAGCAATCTCAATCTCGCTAGTCATCCACCGTTTCATTTATTTATGGACTTATATTTGACATGCTCATGCTCCCTCTATTTTTATCCCTTCGATTTTATTTTTCATTTAGAAATTGCCGTATGATTATTTTACATGTGTTGATGCCAATTAAAAAAAACTGTGTGCGGAAAACATTCCATTATTCAACCATGTGGACCAACATTACATTTGTATGGAGATTCCAAAAAACAATGCCTTAAATTTAAGTTTTGTGAATAGAAAGAATAGCACATAAGCAAAAGAGACTAGACTCAACTAATCTATAGTTAGTCTAATAGTGATTGCCGTTAAATTTAATAGGGAGAACTACGGTTCAATCTTTCGCAACTGCAATCGGAAAGGAATTGAAACCACTTGATATCAAAACTGACTTCATACTAGATACAGGAGAACTAAAATGACCAACATAAACCACCAAAATTAATTTAGCAAAAGAGACTAGACTCGCAACATATATAAAACTAAGGTACAAATCCCAACTGAAATCATATCTACATTCAGTATCCAGCACGGTATAAATTGGCACTGCCATCAATTTCTTGGAACTCCTATTCTATGGATGATTGATAGCATATTATATCTAGATAGAACTACTGATCCGGGATGAACAGAATAGTTCAGCAAGGCACCAAGTAACAAAAGGCTAAACATAAGATTAAACCCGTAATTCCATAGTTTTCCAGATTCACAATCAGTTAAAGAGTACAAATGAATACTAGCAACTACAATAGATAGGAGCACCTGTGGCAAAGACATAATTAAACCCCCCACAAAATCGACAAGATTACAATGCTAAGGGGATCATTAACTTGACAAGTAATAACACAAGTGGAACCGTCAAAGTGGGTAATGGTTTCACCAAGGAGCATGCGGCAGAAGCACCAGAAGAAATTCCACTAACAGGGCCATTAGCGGGAGTAAATCCTGTTGAAGGCACCACAGAGGATTTGGGCGATCTCCCATCAGTTCCATCTAACAGCGATGATGGTGAGGGTGCCGGTGCAAATATTGATTCTCTCGCAACAGTTGTAGGTGGGGCGATAAGAGGAGGAAACTCCTGTGTCCCTGCAGCATCATTTAAAATATATTTAGCCCTTCGAAGGCATCTCAGAAAATACATAAATTATAATGGCTGCAGCATACTGACCTGGGCATCGAGGCTGAAGAGACGGGGTCAACCTGCAGGGAGGAAAGAAATATTAAACCCACATAAACTCAAAGACGGGTGCAGCAAAATATAGATTATTGAAATGTCCCAAAGAGAAAGACGTGAATACAGCGGAGAAACATACGTTGTCGCTATGGTGCCATTAACAAGACCATCATAACTGCAAGAAGTCACATTACAACCACCGCTAGTCTGTTGCACGGTAACATTGCCAAGCATAAGATTGCTGCTTTTACATTGCATGCTGGAGCAAGAAACAGCTAGAGAAGCCGGCATACAGTACAAACTGCAGAAAAAGTAAGAAACGCATATACATAAGTAAGCCACCGAGTTTATCTCAACAAGAGCTGGTTTGACACAGGGTAAAAAAAATCAAGCAAGAATCTTACAGATCAGTTTATCATTAAAAAATTTAACTTAAAACTTAACCCTGAATTCTTCACCTACATTTTCAAACTTTTGCCTCAAATCAAACAACCCTACAAAAGCGTCTAGATTTATGTACAAGGAGAGTAAGGTATGGATTGCAAACAGAAAAAGAAAAGATGCTTAGTGAGTACTTTAGGTTTCGGGGTCCACAGCTACATTGCACACAGTGACCAGCTGTAATGGCATAACTTCCATTAGGGACAAGCAAACCGAAATCAGAAGCATATTTCGGAAAATTTGAAGCACAGGCTGCAAATGAAGAACAATTGTCAGCAATTAAAGAGCATTACATTCATACCATAAACTGAACAAGACCATGTTTGGATAAGCGACTTAATCGAGCGCCAATAGCATAAGTGCTTGTCTAGAAGTTATTTTCATATAAACTATAAACTGTTTTCATAACTATTCTAAAAACTTGTGGAAATAAGTTGAAAGCAGCTTATATACGCCATAAGATGTTTCCGTCACCAACAGTTTCACAAATGCTTAAGCCAAATAAGTCGATCCAAACAAACCCTAAGTTAAATTATAGAAATTACAAAGAACAAGAAAACAAAAAACTAGCACAATGTGAAATTACCCGGAATAGGGATAGCAAGAATATCACCATCAGAGATAGAAGTAGTCCCCATAGCATTAACATTCATCAAATCAGTAAGAGTAGTAAAATATCTAGCAGCAATATAACTCAAACTATCAAGTGGCTGAACAACATAAGACAGATAAATAGCAGGCAAAGCATTATCAGAGCCATTGAAACAAGTACAAGGAAGAGGAACAACAAGGTTCTGTCCCACATCAAGAACAGAAGGATCAGAAATAGAATTAGCCTCTTTAAGCTGGTCAGAGGAAACCAAACCACCGTAAACAGAGTCAGCAATGGTGGAAAGAGTATCAGAAGGACGAATTTTGTAGTTGGTTGAAACGGATTTGCGAATCCCGTCAACACATGAACACGAGATTGGGATTTTGAGGAAGAGTTTTGAAGGGAGGATGTGGTGTTCTACGTCGGGGTAAGAGATGTCAATGGCATTGGCGGTTAGGAGAGAGATAGGGTCGATTTGGAAGAGAGATGAAACTTCGGAGACTTTGAGGTCTGTGTAGAGTGTGTAACCGAGTAAAGCGTTGCATGTGTCGGAGTTTGTGCATGGTTCGATCGTTGATTTTGAGGTAACGGTTGAGAAAAAGTGGAGGAGGAGTGAGAGGAAAAGAGTGGTTTTCTGCATTCTTTGGAATGATGAAGATGAAGGGTTTAGGGTTTTTGAGTTCTTCTCTCTCGGAAGAAGATGAAGAAGCGAGAGAGAAGAGTGTTGTGGAAAGGGAAAGTTTCAGTTTGAAAAAAGTGAAGCATAGAATAGGACAAGTTTCAACATTAGTTGCCTCGTTGGACTGTTTTGTCCCTGTGTCAATATTCATCGTTTTGTGTTGCTTAAAATTAAAATAAATGTACTATATTTTTTTAAATAGGATTTCGGTTTTGTTGCAGAATAATGATTAACGGTATTTGAATTTCATGTTTGAAATTTGAAATGTTATATGTTAGTTTTTTTTTATTGGTAGGAAAAGAAGTTGCTAATTTTGGATATTTATTTTCATGATATTTTATTTTTGTTTTGAAATGGAAATGTGGTTTATTGTTGTGATTTGGAATATGTTGTAAAGGGGTGTTTTTGTAATTTAGGAGTTTGCTTTTCTGGCTTTTGGACAAACTTTTTGTGTCCCACATTAGAGCTGGTTGGTATGTCCATGGTATGGTATGATATGCTTTTTTAGGTATTTGGGCAAAGAATTGAAGATTTATTGCTACCTTCATATTCATATGCAAAAATAATATGGTCATTAAAAATAGGAAAATGATAGATGTGTGAAAATTTTGTTCAAAGGCATTTTCATGACATGATGTGGTAGTTGGTGATTGGTGTATCATCAAAATAATGTTTTGACACTTTTATGACATGATGTGGCAATCAGTGACTGGTGTATCGTTATTTTGACATTTTTAAAATATCTTAAATGTAATATATATTATATTATATCTTAAATGTAATATATATTATATTATATCTTAAATGAGTAGTGCAGAAAGATGGTTTTACACTCATTTTTAGATATATTACATCTGTTATTATTAGGTGCTAATTTAAATGGTGGGAAATGCATCAAGAATTTACACTTGTTTTAACATTGAATTTAAAGCGGGTACATTACATCCTATTTTAGGTCAAACGGGTGTAAAATATCAAACATTAACATTAAATTTAAAGTAAAATATACCTTATATTAGTTAAATCAGGTGTAAAATAAATAATATTTACACCGAATGTCAACAAAATTACACATTATTTTAGATATATCGGATATAAAATATTTGATAATTACATTAAATTTCAACACATTTACACTATATTTTAACTAAATCAAGTATAAAAATGAATGATATTTACAACGAATGTAAACGAATTTACATCTTATTTTAGATATATCAAGTGCAAAATATTTAATAATTACATTGAAATACACTTAATTTACACTCTGTATTAGATATTACGGGTATAAAATATCTCAATTTTATTTTAATATTTCTTTAAAAATTCATTAAACCAATTTTATATATTTATAAGCGTTCTATAAAAAAACTAACAAAAATAAAATAAATTTCATCGTCTTCATGTAACTCGAGCCAAAAGTTATACATCAAACAAAATTTGTGTTTATATATAAAAAAAATCACTTTTTACATGTATTATGTACCAACAAAACATTCATTTAAAAAGAATATCTTTATGTATGTTATTTTCAATGGCTTTTGATTTGTCACTATTGATTCATTTGCTCTTTAACCATTTAGACTTGATGTTTTTGTAGATTTTACTCTTCAATCATTTACAACAAAAAAAAATGAGCTCAAAGTTATCCGATGTAGTCAATTGACTCTTTTTCATATGATGAAGTGTTGTGAATATCTACACATTCAAGTAACAAATTCACATGTTTAAAACAATAAGTCACATGTTTTTGATTAAATGTATATGTAATAGAATAATGTTTATAATAAGACATCAAAAACAACAACGTTACAAAAACGGTATTGGGAAGTGTCAATATTGATATCGTTATTCACAATTTTATGATAAAGAACAAATAGTAGGTAATTCACACCGCGACAACTGCATTCAACGTTGCAACACCTATACTGACTAAAATCACAAGAACTTTTACGCAGTTGCAACGCGGCCGTGACCGTTATTTAAAATTAGGCACGCTTTGAGAAGCCACAACAATTAAGATTGTCATAAGGGTGTGGTAATAATATTACACTCTTAGCCGACTTTGATAATAGTTTTACCAATTCAAGATGACATTTTAACACTACCATCACACTAAAGATTATCCACTTATATTTATAATATTACACTACTAACATACTAAAGATTATTCACTTATATTTATAATATTACACTACCAACACACTAAAGATTATTCACTTATAAGAGGAAGCCATATAAAAAGAAAATAGAATAGTTTCATATCTGATTGTAGACGAATTTGGTGGAGAGAATATATATGTCCTGATGATCCAATCTATCAACCAAATTAAATAATATAACTAGGAAACTACAAGTATAAACTACTAAAAGAAAAACAAAAAGGAAAGACATCATACATGTTAGATCATCTATTACACTCTTAGTATCACTTGATCAGTTTCATTATCACCTTTCTCATAAAGTCAATCTTCAGTCTCTTGCAAACATCAAGATATGTTATCCATTTCTTTGACACTTGCAAAACTCTGAAACATATTGAAGAGCTATTCAAGTATGCAAATAAATTTAACTCCCAACCCAGAGAGAAAAATGAAAATAAAACAAAATCTTCAAATGCATGTATAAAAACAGTAGTAATAAGTGAGATAAAAGTTTAAAGATTTGAAATTTGAGTCCCTTTGTCGATAATATTTCAAAGTATTATAACAACAAATCATTTCACTCTTCAAATTTACTAATGAGTCATGAGTCGAGACAAAAAGTTATTGAAAACAGTTTGTTAGTAAGTAAACTATAAAGTTTTTATTTTAATCTGCTTCTACATAAACTTGAGAAAGTTATAACATTAGTTATGTAAAAAGAACGTCTACCATTTTTTCCCTTTGACATGAGGGTCCAAAAGATAGAGTTGTGGAACTAATCAAATAAAAGAACAACACTTGAGTTCTGGACAAATAAATTCTTTAAAGTATTAAACCAATAAACACTAAAAAAGAGATTATGTTGTGACAAATGATATCAATTAACAAATTTTTGATTGAGAAACAAAGTTTTTTGATGAACAATAAAAAGGTGGAGAGAGAGAGAGAGAGAGAGAGAGAGAGAGAGAGAGAGAGAGAGAGAGAGAGAGAGAGAGAGAGAGAGAGAGAGAGAGAGAGAGAGAGAGAGAGAGAGAGAGAGAGAGAGAGAGAGAGAGAGAGAGAGAGAGAGAGAGAGAGAGAGAGAGAGAGAGAGAGAGAGAGAGAGAGAGAGAATAGGATTTAGGCAAACTTTTTTTCTATTCACTTACTCAATTATGGTACAAATGATTACAAGTGAATAATAACAAATGACATTTCTCAACAACCTGAGAGATCTAGCATATTTATAGGCTACTGAGTTAACTTAAACAACAAACTAACATAAACAATTGGATCCATAACATAAGGTCTAGTTCGATATTACATTTCGAAATTACATATTAGAACTAACTTCGACTACAACATATAAACACTTCGACATCAGCATGCGAACCAACTTCGACTTCATGATTGTCTCTTGTCGAAACATGAAAATTTTCCTAGTCAACAGCACTAGAGTTTAATCCAATATCTCACAAATTTCCACCTTTGAACAAACTCTACAATAACAGGGAATAGTCTAGCTTTCACCATGCAACTTTATCAACTGCATACAGTGGAAAAACTTGCAACTCGACAATGTCTTGGTGATCATATCAGCAACATTGTCATCAGTCGAAACCTTTAACACTTGGAATTCCCCACGCTCGATTATCTCTCTGAAGAAGTGCATCTTTATATCAATGTGCTTCGTTCGCTCGTGATATGTTGAATTCTTTGACATGTGTATTATACCCTGGTTATCATATATAACAATGATAACTCAACCTTAAAGTTTTAGCTCATCTCCAAAACTTTCAAGCCACAATGCTTCTTTCACATATTTAGCGAGGGCAATATATTATACTTCAGTGGTTGATAATGAAACAACCTTCTGAAGCATCACTTTCCAACTGATCATTGTGCCGAACACAGTGAACACATATCCAGAAATAGATTTTCTGGAATCCATACAACTTGCATAATCAGAGTCGACAAATCCTTTGATTTCGAATTTGCTGTCATCACCATGGGCTCCACCATAAATCAAGAATCTTCTTAGAGACCCATTTATGTACCTGAGAATCCACTTTAAAGTTTGCTAGTGCACTTTTCTAGGATTGGCCATATACCTGCTTAAAAGGTTTACTCCATACGCTATGTTTGGCATTGTACAGATCATAACATACATCAAATAACCTACTATACTAGCAAATGGAATGCTACTCATATATATTCTTTCAGCTTCAGTACTCGAACTTTAGGTAGTTATAAGCTTAAACTGAGGATTTTTCGGAGTCACAACAGGCTTTGAATTCGACATACCAAAATTGTCAAGAATCTTCTGTAGGTATGTCATTTGAGATAAGCATAATTTTAACTACTTTCTATCTCTCAGGATGTCAATCCCAAGAATCCTGGTGGCAGCTCCCAGATCCTTCATTTCGAACTCCTTACTGAGTTTAGCCTTCACCTCCATTACATTCTTGACACTATTGCTAGCTATGAGGATATCATTCACATAAAACAACAAAATAACAAGTGAGTTTCTAAGTTGAAATCTGAAGTAAACACAATGGTCGAACTGGCTCCTAATGAAACCAATATGTGTCGTAAACTTGTCGAATCTCCTGTTCCATTATCAAGGAGATTGTTTTAGGCCATACAAAGACTTATTCAGCTTGCACACATAATCTTCCTTATCCTTTTCTTCATATCCTCCAGGTTTCCTCATCAGGATTGTTTCGTCTATATCACCGTACATAAAGGCCATTTTCACATCCATATGTTCAAGTTCCAAGTCAAACTTCTCCACCATGGCTAACATTCTAATAGATTTATGCTTTACAACAGGTGAGA